AGAGTCCAAGAAAGAGAGAATAGAAAAATGGAAAGAACAAAGTTATTATTAATAATAATGATGATGATGATGGAGAATTTCCCTGCTCTGAAAGAAGACAGAAAATTTTTGAAAGTGGTTACTGGTAAGATCAGCAGATGGCATAATGGTTACATTCCTGGACTCCCACATAGATGACTTGTCTGTGGTTCAAGTCCCAGACCCAGCAGCTTAAAACTCCTGCCAGGTACCTGTACGTGCATACTCAAAATCCTGAGAGGAGAATGGAGAAGAGACTGTGGCGCAGCCATCCCCTTGAGGGGTGATTTCTCGCTTTCTGTCTCTCTGTCTCTCTGGCGAGCACATGTGCCCTATAGCAAAAAGTCTCTCTTCTATGAAAAACTAAAAAAGAAAGGGGTCACTGGGTAGAGAGCAAAATGAATAAAATAAAGGCCAACACCTCCACACATTTTTTTAATATCTCTTAATATTACGGATTTAAACAAATCCTGTGCTGGCCTCATAGCCTAATGGTTAAGGAAAGCCATTCGCTCAGGAGTACCACAGTCCGAGCCTCGGCCACAGCGATCTGAAAAACACCCCAGGTGTATGTGCATGTGCTGTGGGCCCCAAATCCCAACAGGCCGGAGAAATGGAGCAGGGACTGCAGCTTGACCAAGCCCCGCTTTCGCCCTGTCTCTCTCTGGAGAACACCAGCACTCCCTGGCAATTTTTAAAAACCCTAACATCTAGGTGCCAAGGCAATGGAGGAAAAAGGAATTCAACCTAAAATCACATAACCAGTCAAACGATCAGTCAAGCATGAGAACAGAACACAGCCTTTTCTGATAAGCAAGGATTTTAGTCTGGGAGGAAATTACTGAGGAGGTTTTTGAGGCAGTTCAGTAAAATCAAACAGTAAAGCAAAATCCAAACCAAAACACACAAAAAAAATCCACAGAGTCCAGGAAAGCAGTCCCCAGCCTAGAGGAGCAGAGACCTCGAGCTCAGGATAGCAGCCTTGCAGTAATTCTCAAAAGCAATAGATTAGAGGCCTCTGAAGAGAGGCCACTGGGAAAGAAGGCATTCTGCAAGTAGCAGGAAGAAAAGGGAGCTAGGAACACTTTGCTACGACGAGGCTTTAATACTGACTTACTGACAAAGAGGAAACTCACGAAGTCAACTAAACTGTGATATAATTTCAGTAAATAATGGGGTATAATAAAATAAATCTATCTGGCTATGATGGTAGAAATAATCTTCACAGGCCAGCTGGTGGTGTGGTGATTGAGGCAGCAGGATCCCACATGCCCGACTGTGTGGTTCGCGTCCCAGACGTGATAGCTTAAAAAACAGGCTGGGTGTGTGTATGTGCGTGCCCAAAACCCTGAAAGGAGAGAAGGAAGAGAAGGGATTGCAGCATGACTATCCCCACAGGGGTGCTTGCTCACAGTCTCTCTTTCTTCAGGAAGCGCATGCACCCTTTAGCAAAACTTAAATTAAAAAAGGGAATAATCTCCTTCAAGTACCCAAAATTTAAGATATCAGAATTAAGGGGACCAGCAGGTGGCATGGTCCCTTAGCTGTATTTTCTAGTAGAAAAAAAGAAAAAGAACATTAGAAACAAGAAATATTGCATAAACATTTGAAAAAGTAAAATTTGCTGATCTCCAAGGCTACTAATTTAGTGATAAAATAATATTATTTTTATATATTAATCAGATTTCACTGGCCTTAGCTTGCATCTGTTAGCCACTGTAAGCACTGCTACTCGAGCTGTAATTACTATCCAGATCAATATGCTTTGCAGTAAGTGCCTCTCACTAGTAATAAAGAACTTGTTTTGAATGGCCGTATCATGCTGGGCACCGCAGTACACCCAGGGTGTGTGGGAAGCTGAGACAGGAGGAGCATAGTGAGAGCCTGTCTTTAAAAAGTTCATGGAAAAAATAGAATTAAAGTACAAGTTTATTTTGGTACCAAAAAAACTGTGAAATTCATAGTTTTTTCATAATATGTATTTTCCATGAACTCTTTGAGACCCTCCCCCCTTGTATAATGCAAAAGGACAGAACTGAAAACTAAAAATATTAAGCTAAAAAGTGGGCAGAAATATAACAAGAATAAAGGTAAAAAGACATTACAATGAAATAATACTATAAAAGATATCAAAACTGTAACAGAGGAAAAAGAGAAGAAAAGACAAAACTCACATTTATTAATAGTCCCTACTTCGTGACAAGCACCTGCCAGACAACTTCTTTATACACTATTTTAATTTATCTCATGACAGTCCTTTGAGAAAAATGGATTATACACACTACGAAGAGAAGAGGCTCAGAGAGGTTAAGTAACTTGCCAGGACACCACAGCTAGTAAACAATCTATGCCGACTTCAAACTTAAGTCTTTCGAACCCCAGAGCCCATCTAGTGCACAGCCTCACCTTGGCACTCAGGTCCTCGTAAACAACGAAAGATAAATGGGGTCAATTTTCACTGAGTCATAAAAAGGCAAGTTCCCTGGAGGCAGATAATACATTCAGCAGGGCCGCTAAAGATTTGGAGCAATGAGGAAACGGCTGTTAGTACCGTAAATACTACTTAGCTTGCTGTTAACTCCTGTCTGGAAGAGAGTCTGGCTTCTCTGCTCCAGCACAGGCAACTGCAGGTGAACAGGTCGTTTAACTCGAGGCAAGGAAGCTCTTAGCTTCTCTCTCCCCTGCATCGGCCTGCAGGTAAGGGCAGTAATACACTGGCTCTCCCATCTAACCTGATATAACCCTGGCATCTAAAGAGGGCGTTACTAGTGGCTCTCCAAATCCTTCAGCTCCTGGGCTACCACACGGTCTGTGAGAATGACAGAATTCTTCCCCTGGGCTTCAGCAAAGCCACCATTTTCTGGGACCAGGTGGTGGCATGGTGGTAACGCAGCTGGACTCATGGGAAAGGTCCTGGGTTTATGGTCTGGGACCTCTCTGAGCACACTGGGAGCACATGATCTGGGCCAGCTGAGACGGGGATGGATGGCCACATGAAGACCATGATGGGGATGCCTCTCTCTCTCTCTCATGGAAGAAATAAACTTAAAAAAATAATTATCCATTCATTTCTATCATGCTCCTACTCTGTTCACAGAGAACAAAAAAACTATTGGAGCGTTTGGAAAGTCATGACTCATGTTGGCATAGGAAAACACGTCATGACTTCCCTGATGACCTAATATTTTTCCTTTCAAACACGGGAGAGGGTTAGAGGCAGCTGTGTAAGTTCCAGATTAAATATTTTATTTTATGTCCAGCTATATTTATCATAGGTCAAATGTCTTCCTATTTTATTTGTACAAAAACTACTCAATTCGAGACCCGCAGATGACATAATGGTTACGTTACATCACTAGACTGCCGTATAGTCAACTTTGAGTCCCAAAACCAGTGACTTAAAACTCACACAGGGCACATGTGCATGCCCAAGGTCCCAAGGCGAGAATGGAGGAGAAAGAACTGTGGAGTGGCCAACATTCAGGGGGTGATTTCTTGTTTTCTGTATCTCTGTCTTTCTCTGTCTCTCCAGCAAGTACAAGCACCTTACGACAACAATCTCTTTTAAAAAATCACACACACACACACACATATATATAATATATATGTATGTATGTGTATGCGTGTGTGTGTATATATATGTGTGTGTGTGTGTGTGTCGTAAACAACGAAAGATAAATGGGGTCAATTTTCACTGAGTCATAAAAAGGCAAGTTCCCTGGAGGCAGATAATACATTCAGCAGGGCCGCTAAAGATTTGGAGCAATGAGGAAACGGCTGTTAGTACCGTAAATACTACTTAGCTTGCTGTTAACTCCTGTCTGGAAGAGAGTCTGGCTTCTCTGCTCCAGCACAGGCAACTGCAGGTGAACAGGTCGTTTAACTCGAGGCAAGGAAGCTCTTAGCTTCTCTCTCCCCTGCATCGGCCTGCAGGTAAGGGCAGTAATACACTGGCTCTCCCATCTAACCTGATATAACCCTGGCATCTAAAGAGGGCGTTACTAGTGGCTCTCCAAATCCTTCAGCTCCTGGGCTACCACACGGTCTGTGAGAATGACAGAATTCTTCCCCTGGGCTTCAGCAAAGCCACCATTTTCTGGGACCAGGTGGTGGCATGGTGGTAACGCAGCTGGACTCATGGGAAAGGTCCTGGGTTTATGGTCTGGGACCTCTCTGAGCACACTGGGAGCACATGATCTGGGCCAGCTGAGACGGGGATGGATGGCCACATGAAGACCATGATGGGGATGCCTCTCTCTCTCTCTCATGGAAGAAATAAACTTAAAAAAATAATTATCCATTCATTTCTATCATGCTCCTACTCTGTTCACAGAGAACAAAAAAACTATTGGAGCGTTTGGAAAGTCATGACTCATGTTGGCATAGGAAAACACGTCATGACTTCCCTGATGACCTAATATTTTTCCTTTCAAACACGGGAGAGGGTTAGAGGCAGCTGTGTAAGTTCCAGATTAAATATTTTATTTTATGTCCAGCTATATTTATCATAGGTCAAATGTCTTCCTATTTTATTTGTACAAAAACTACTCAATTCGAGACCCGCAGATGACATAATGGTTACGTTACATCACTAGACTGCCGTATAGTCAACTTTGAGTCCCAAAACCAGTGACTTAAAACTCACACAGGGCACATGTGCATGCCCAAGGTCCCAAGGCGAGAATGGAGGAGAAAGAACTGTGGAGTGGCCAACATTCAGGGGGTGATTTCTTGTTTTCTGTATCTCTGTCTTTCTCTGTCTCTCCAGCAAGTACAAGCACCTTACGACAACAATCTCTTTTAAAAAATCACACACACACACACACATATATATAATATATATGTATGTATGTGTATGCGTGTGTGTGTATATATATGTGTGTGTGTGTGTGTGTGTATATATATGTGTGTGTGTGTGTGTGTATATATATATATATATATATACAATTGTATCACAATTTTTTTACTTATTTCATACTTACAGGTAAATGAGTAAACACTTGAAAGATGCTTCTCAAAAAATTAATAAGATCCATTAAGTAACCACTCGCTCTTCCATCTGGCTCAGCCATTGTCCAGTCATAATCAGCAAGCTGGACAAATTCGTCAATTTTGTGATTAAGCTTGGTATATATTTCTCCTTCTGCGGCATGTCGAGCATCCTGACGGGACAAAATAACAGCAGGAAAACAACTACAGAGCAGACCATGAAACAAGCTGTCTTAAAATTCTAGATGTTATTTTATGTTTTTCTTTGGTCTAACATTTCTGTCATTTATCTGAAGTCTGCGAACTCCGCTAGCTTTGCTTTGTGTGCACTTTTTGCTGTTAGCTCTCTTGAACGAACTAAACGTCACATCTTTTCTTCCTTCTTTTCCAACCTCACAAACCACCTTTCTCGTCTGTCTGTGATATGATACAAGATGTCCTGACTTGTTACAATTCTAAGACCCTTGGGAGAAACAGAAGTAGAAGAACTCAGCTGTCAAGAACTCAGAAAACTACCCCTCTCCAGGGACTCCCTAAGGAAATTAAGTTAGACCATCACAGAAAAAATGAATGGCTATTGGTGCTTTGAGTTTAACACGTAAGTTAGGACGGGGAGAGAAAGAGATAGCTAACTTCCCTGAGGAGAAGAGAAATGGTGGGAGTGACTTTAGCAAAAACAACAGAGTAAAGACGTCCAAACATTCTCTACTCCATAAAAACGTACCGTCCAGGAAAGCAGATGGTGTGATGGTTAAGGTGCTACATTCCCATATGGCTGACTGCCGTAAGAGTCCCGGATCCAGCAGCCTGAAGATTATGCTGGGCACATGTGCATGCATGTCCAAACTCCCGAGGGGAGGATGGAGAAGAAGGGACTGTGGCATGACCATTCCACCCGAGGGGTGATTTCTCATTTTCCATCCCTCTGTGGTTATGTGTCTCCCTTTTGCAAGTGCACGTACCCTATGGCAAAAAACTAAAAAAGAAAAGAAAGCTATCAAAAATTGTTAAAACCAACATTTTCATACATTCTGGAAATTAACCCCAAAGTCCTAGTGTTTTTCTTTTTTTCAAGAAAAACAATTGAATCTTGGTAAGAAAGATCTGAGATTTGAACCACGCAGTTGGCCATGGGGGATCCAGTGTCTTAACCACCACACTACCTGCTGGTCTGAGAACTGTTTTTAGCAGAAAACTTTTAGAAAGGGCTATAGGTTAAACTACCAAGCCCATTTTATAGACAAGGGATCAAATAAATAGTTTATTATTAGTTTAACAAAATATTCAATGAAAGATTTATATTACTAGACCATGCCAGTGTCTTATCTACCTGACTCCAAATCAAGAAGTGAAAAAAAACTTATAAAACAAATTTATGAAATTATTTAATCTTGTAATCTGCTTAAAACAAGCATTGACTTAATCTTTCTGTATATCCCTTATGTTTTTATCCAGAAAAAAAAGGATCGATGATATGTCATAATATTTATGCTTCTTTAGATCAAAGACAATAAAAGTTGAAAGCAAGTCTGACACTTATTTAATTTGAGTTATGTTTTCAACTTCAACTTTTCATATAAAAATAATTATTAACCTGTGAGACATAAGAGGAATTCAATTCTACTAAGTCAGCACTATTACCATCATTAAAACATAAAAAAAGGTAGAAAATAAATCTACTTTCTCCATTTTAATTAGACATTTAAAATGCCACAAGGGAGCTGACATTTATCTGTTTGCTGTTGACAATGATTACTTTTAATTTCAACTTTTAGGCATAGAATGGAATCATGCACATAATAAAAATTGCCTTAGTTTTCAATGTTGGTTTTACAGAGATGAAAATGAAAACTTTTGGTCAGAGTTTTCCATACCTTAAAAGTAGAAAGTCCATAAAGTCTTGTAGTATGAACAGTTTCTTGAGAAATATTTGTAATGTTGGTTATAAAGTCTTCGAGGTATTTACAAGCTTGTTCCAGGTGTGTTGTGTTTATAATGATTTGGACTAGCTGGAAAGCAAAAACGACACCCGTTCAACGCAGGCTACATTTATGGAGAACCACTACAGTATTACTCCCAGCAACCGTATCATCTCCACAAAATTATAGCATTACAGGATACAAACAACTACCCGATTTCAAAATCCTGCTGCAAATACTGCTTATAAACACTCACACTGCTAAAAATATATGTACATATAACAAGAGTCTAATCATCAATTATTTTAAAATAACTTTTTTACATACTTTTCAAATCTTACACATTAAGCCAGTTGTGAAAATGAGGATTTTTGACTTTTTATGTAAAGTCTGGCAAACAGAAATCCAAACATATGTTCTGACATCTTCAACTATCTACTATTCCCCATGTAAACCCCTTTCCTTCACATTTCTTGAATTTGTACTGATATTCTTATTTTAAAACAAATCTTTTATATTAATAAGCTTAAAGTACAAATCTAGTTTTACAGAATAATGTTCGGCAATAACTTGATTGCTAATAATTGCTTCATATGTTGACATATATGGCTATATGAATCGCTTTAGCCTACCTCTGTCAAGCCCATGTGAGGCTTTCTAATAAGGTTCAGTAAACAGCTACTCAGCGTTCTAGTCAGCAGCAGATTTGTTGATTTTCTAAGCATATCGTCTATTTCTGTTGAGCTAAAAACAAAGGGTGGAATGTTAGTAGGCTTTCCACAGGGGTATAGTTAGTTAACACCCTAAATTATTTAACACAATTTGCTAAAATAATTTATTCTAAGTATTCTTTTATATCTTAACTAAATTATAATGACCTACATTTATTAAGTTACAAATTTTAATCTAATTACACAAGCGAACATGTTCTGGCCCAGCTATGGTAGCTCACAGACAATGGCACTGAGCAGGAGGCTGGAGCAGGAGGCCACCTGGGGGCCTGGGTTTGGTTTCTAGGCCCACCTCAACACCCCAGGTGTGGTCCGCACACTCGTAATCCTAGCCAATAGACAGCGGAGCAGGAGGATCGCGACACTGCAAGATCCAGTGCCCTACTGAAAATAACTATTCTGATTATTTCCCTTTCCCTCTCTCTTTTCCCTCTTTATATTTTCCTTCCATAATGAGAAGGAAAACAAAGCCAAAACAGGAGAGAGGACATTCTCCATAAAGTAGAATGTTCATTTATGGCAATGGCATAATTTAAATGTATCTAAGTTACTCACTACAGAAAAAAATCGTGGGTAGTTAATATAAGGAAATAAAACAATCCTTAAATTATGAAAGTCACTTTGGAGGACACTTCATATACAACTATAAAGGCAAATTACTGGCTTGTCAGAAAAGTCATGACATACTTTTTCTACGCAAAAATGCATCATGACTTTTACAACGACCCAATACTTTTAAAATACAAATAGATGTTAGTTATTTTTTAATTTAATTACCTCATTTAATTTTTAAAGTAACTAAGCTATCCATTTCCGTTGAGTTTTTTTTTGTTTGTTTGTTTTAGGTTTTGCCATAGGGTATGTGTGCTCGCCAGAGAGAGACAGAGAGAGGGAGAGAGGAAAAGCAAGAAATTACCCCCTGGGGTGATGGCCACACTGCAATCCCTTGCCTTCCTCTCTCCTCTTGGGATTTTGGGCATGCACACATCTATTCCTGGTGTGTTTTTCAAGCTGTAGGGTCTGGGACTTGAACCATACAGCTGGCTGTGTAGGATCCAGCCACTTTGACCACCATGCCACTAGATGGCCTATAATATTAGGTTTATAGCAACTTAACCCTAAACATTATTAAAATATGAAAGCCTTTCCAATAAGAAAATAATCCAAAGACTCATGGCATGAAAATACAGTGTTAATGTTTTATAAAAACAGTAATGACAAAGACACAGTTCTTATGAGTAAACTCACCTTCGGTGTAGCGACTCTGAAAATTTAAGGCTGGCATAAATAAATTCTTTAACTTGAGTATAAATATGAGGCACTGACTGAGACATAGGGAATTTCTTTGGGAAAGATTGCTGTAGAAAAAAAATCAATATTGTTTTAGAAATTTTAGAAAAAGACATTCTAATCACCAAAGGGAAAAAAGTTGATTTTACATTTGAATAGTTAGTACTTGCATAGAAATTTCTACTGATATATTTACCTTTTTTTTATATTTTAAAGAAAACCAACATATTTCTGAAAACAAAACAAAACAAAACAATGTGGCAATTTACTTGTTTGTTAAGTTATTACCAGTCTTCCAACCAACAGGGAAAGCACACACCAACACTGACACATGCCAGCGGGGAGTGTTCCTGCAGTAGACACTGTCTACTTCTTTGTACCCAAAATACAAGTCAGGGTGGCACGAACTTCCTGGCTCGAAGTCAACTTCCTGGCTCGAAGTCAATAAATAACTCTAAGATTTCCTTTACTTACCTTCAATGAAGGCTTGATGCCAATTCAAGAAGACATCCAGTTTAATACATAACTGGCATACCTCACAGCAGCTTTCTGATCACCACACAGTCAAACACTGGTACACACTTAGCGGTTTATGGCATGCCTCTTGGCTAAATTGCTGTATCAGCCCACATCCATTCGATAATTCTGTCTTCAAAAGGTAAATTCTCTCCATGATTTTTACCAAAAAGCAGAGTCTAGTCTACATCACCACCTTCACATTCATTGCAAACTTATATAATTGAATGCACCCTCATCAAAGTCACCAATAACCTTCCAGTTGTAAATCCACCGTACTTTTCCACTCTCTAATTACTTGACTTGTCAGAATAATCTAACATGGTTGGCCCCTTCTGCTGCTGTTTTGTTGTTACTGTTTTTAAGCTTACTTATTTAGTTATTTCTTCCAATAGAGAAAGAAGGGAGAGCAGAACCCCTGGCAGGATCATGGGATTCTGGTATACTCAGGGAGGTCTCTAGATGCAAACCTGGAACCTTTCCATGTGGTCAGACGTGCACAGCATCATGCTTCACCACTGTGCAATCGACCGGCCCCACCCTCCTGAGTCATAAACAGTCTTGTCTTCCTTGGGTTCCTAACCAATACTAGCTTTCCTCCTATTTTTCTACCTGCTCTTTCTTCCTCTACCCATCCCTTAATTACTGTTATACCTTAAGATTCTATCCTAAACCTTCTCGTCTTACTATATATATTCTCCTTGAATGACTCATTGGACACATGTTCTCCATTTGGCTGTACCATGTGAGACAAACTTAATAGTTGCAAAAATGAAATTATCTGGCCAGCAGGCAGCATGGTGGGTAAGGCAGCTGGATTCCACATGGCTGTGCAATTTGAGCCCTGGACCTGGCTGCTTAAAAAGCACATCGGGCATGTATATGTGTATGCCCAAAGTCCTGAAAGAAGAAATAGAGGAGAAGGGATTGTGGGAGATGGCCACATCACAATCCCTTCTCCTCCAGTCTCCTCTAGTGATTTTGGGCATGCACGTGCACATGCCCAGCATGAGTTTCAAATCCCAGAGTCCAGGACTCAAACCACAGTTGGCAATGTGGGAGTCCAATACCTTAACCACCATGTCACCTGTTAGCTACACTGGAGTCATTTTTAAGCTTTAAGAATTTATTGTAATAACATTAAAGGTAGAATGTGAATGTGTTCTTATTTTAGCTGAATGGTTCTAATCAACTTAGCCATCTACAGAAGACAGATTTTTACATGTCTGTTCAATCTTACTTCTTTCTTATTCATAATATATGATGAAAACAATAACTTGTTATATGACAGACATTTGTATATCTTTTCTAATAGTTTTAACTGAAAATTATACTTAAATTAGGCAAAAAAAATAAAAATATACATAAAACCAAAAGACTATTATTAAGTAATGTATGGGATTTACTTTTAAGTTGTCACATTTAAATTTTCCATGTGGATTTACCTTATTAACAATAGTTGCTTTAAATGATAAATGCAAGGGGACTTCCAAAAACTCATGGAAAAATAGAATTAAAGTATGAGTTCATTGTGGTGCAAAAAGACTGAAACCCATACAGAGTTTTTTCATAACACACATCTTCCATAAACTTTCTGAAGACCACACATGTTTGAACCAATGAATATAACTCCTAAGGAGTTTAATCCTAAGAGGTACTGCATATGTCAGAACTCTCTACAAGCAATGTTAAACTTTCTTGGAAAAAAAAAAAAAAGATAATAAGTGTGTGTGCATGCACCAGACAGAGAGAAAGAGAGAGGAGCTCTCTCCACAGGTCTTGGTCCTGCCACTAGCCCTTTCCTCCAGTCCTCTACCCTGCCAGGGCACACAGCCATCACCTGGTGTGTTTTTAGGTCAATGAGGCCAGGGATTCAAACCAAGGATGGTATGTGGCCTCCAGCTTCACAGACTGGTATGTATCAACTGGGCCACAGTGACTGGGCTATAAACTTCCTTTTAGTTATAGACCTACTTAAAATAGTTTTGTGTAACTGGGAGGAACAATAGAGATTATGTGTTGGGTCGCTGGAAAAGTCATATGTTTTTCTATGTTTTTCTATTCAAAAATGCATCATGACTTTTCTAATGACCCAATAATTCAATCCCCTCATTTGAAAGAGGAAGCACAAATGCTTAAGCAGGGTTAGTCATTGCCCATAATGAGCCACAAGCAAAACTAGCAGGTGAACCCAGATGCAGTCCAGCGCTCTTTACACGGATGCTGCAGCCTGAGCCGAGTCATTACCAGGAGTTAAAACAAAACGTCACTAAGCCATGGCACAAAGAATATTTTAATAAAACTTCTTGACAGGGACAATCTTGACTGGGGTTCAACAATGGCGAATTAATTATTGTGGTCTGTTGTGCATTTTAAAACACAGCTAGCAAGCCAGCCATGGTAGCACAGCAGTCACGCAACGCTCTGTGATGCTCGGGCCACACAGGGAGGTCCTGGGTCAGGTCCTGAGGTGTCCCTGTGTATAACAGGCACAGTGCATGCCTTTGATTCTGGTTGGCTGAGGTGGGGCTAGGACATCAGTGTGACAACCCTGTGGGGGTGAGGGGTGCATATCTCTCTTTTCTCTATCTCCCTCTCATAGAAAAGATAAATCAATAAGCTTAAAAAATACCCATAGCTCTTCAGTATATGCAATGGCAGTGTTAGCTATGATTTAGCAGCTCTGCATTTAATTACTTGGTTCTAGTGACTATTACACATAATACACCTAGTTTATGCATAAAAATTGAATAAAATTTTATAGTCTCAATTCAGTCTTATTCTGAAAGGATAAAATGCAGAAAACCGCTAAATTCTAAAGAGTTGGAAAAATACTAAAGGATAAAATGGGGGGAAAAAAGAACAAAGAAGATATAAAAAGATTACAACTATAGAAAATATGATTCAGACACTGGATAGGTACAAGCACGTATGTTTGCATATATGTGTGTACAAACACATGCACTCATGTGCATTCCCAGAATATCCTACATGCTGGCCTATTTCCTTTCTCTATCCTGTCTTTTGTTTGGATATTTGACTCCAAAAATATATACAGGTTGAACATCCCTAATCCAAAAAGTCTAGATGCTTCAAAATTAAAAATTTGTTTTTATTAAAGAGAGAGATCGAGATTGATTTTTGATAGGTCTTGCCATTTTGCAATCCTGCCCCAGCCTCCCAGTGCACACCACCACAAGTGGCCTGTTTAGTTTGAGCTGAGAATGGAACCTGGGCCTCCTGTATGGCCTGTTTCCAAGTAGTACATCTTAGCAACGCGCACCACTGCACCTAAGCCCCGAATCTGAAACTTTCTGAGCACCAACATGACAGCCAAAATGGAAAAGTCCACACCTGATCTTATGTGACAGATCACAGTCAAAATGCTGAATTTCCTTTTGTATAAAGGGCTGGCCCGTAAACTAGTAGCTAAGTGAGCTGGATTCCATATAGGCAACTGTAGCTCAAATCCTGGCCCTGGCAGCTTGAAAACCACACCAGGCGCATGTGTGTTCACACAACAAGATGAAAAAATGGAGGAGAAGGAATTGCCATGTGACCATGCCCCATTGGGGGTGCTTTCTCTATCTCTCTGTCTCTAGCAAGCACATATGCCCTTTGGCAATCAGGGGGAAAAAAGCTGCAATACAAAAATATTGTATGCAATTACCTTCAGCCTATGTGAGTAAGGAGTATATGAGACATAAATGCATTTCATAATTAGATTTCGGTCTCAACCCCAAGATCTCTTATTATAAATATGCAAATATTCTAAAATCCAAAAAACTCCCAAATCCAAAACACTTCTGATCCCAAACATTTTGGAAAAGGGATGATCAACCTGCATTCCTACTTCAAGAAGAAATCTGTTGGTGGCTCTTGTCTTCATACACTTCTTACTTGTGCAAAAACAAACAAACAAACAAAAAAAATCCCAACTATTTATAGGAAAAAAATGGTTTTGTACATGGGATGAAACAATATAAATTCAAAACTTACAGATAAGGGTTAGCTCTATCGCTCATCTCTTTAAAAAGTTTATATGAATATCTAGTCAAAACCAACAAGAGTATCTCCCTTGAAACGTTATTTCTGCGGCTTTCCAAGTAGACCACAGGACTGCACACTGTCTTGGAATGTCCTCAGAAGGCTCTGTCAGTGAGCAGGTAACAGAGTAAAAATCCCAGAGTCCTTTCTTTCAAATGGAAGAGAGAAGACAGGGGGACAGAGAAACTATTCAAACTTCGTCTTCTTTTCTTGTGGCTTGTGGTCGCCTCTTCCTCCTCTGCCTCCTCGGAAGCCACCTCACCCTCCAAAGCCTCCTTGGTCTCTGCCACCAAATCCACCTCTGCCTCCTCTTCTTCCACCTCAACCCCTGAAGCCACCTTCACCCTTAGGCTTGGTCCAGTCCAAGGTAAAAAGCCACAAAATAAGATTTTCAATAGCAATGGGCATTTCAAAGAAATTTTCTTCTCCTTCTCTAGAAAATACTCTTATTATTAAAATATATTCAACATTTCATATATATAGTTTGGAATGCACCCAACATTATTAACACCCATCCTGAGAATCTACCTAACATTTGAGCCAACTGCTTCAAGCACCCCCAGGAAAGTCCCTTCTTAACTTCATCAAACTAGTGCTAGTCACAGGAGCAACCACACAATCTTTAAAAGTGACAAAAACATAGCTAATTTTTTCAGGAAATACCAAAAAATATTCCAAAAGAAGTCATTCTTAAGTGTTGAGTCAATTTTATATAGTAATAAATATCACAGACTTATTTTTAAGAATAGTTTTTAATTAAAAAGTAGCTTGTACCTTTTCAAGGTCTGGATCTTGAAAGGGAAATTTACTGATAACTATTTTATATTCTTCTTCATTGGTAATAGGAATTGGGCTATAATTATCTTCTTCGAAAATATCCCTATTAAGAAAGAAGAATTGAAAACATTATTACAAAACATATCATTAGAGTGTTACAAGATACTTAAAAAAAAACTTTTACAAAGGCATTTTTTAATTTGTCAATTAGAGATCCATAGGAAAACACTGCCTATTCATCCATAATACTAAAATTCAACATCAATTAAGTCTTGTCCCTCAAAATTCATGTGTAATCTTCTCATCTTAGTACCTTAGATTTACTTTTCTAGTCTAGAATGATTCTCAAGGTGATAAGGTCCCAACAAGCTCATTATCTATAACTAAAAACAGATCCATAAGATGAAGAATATCCCAGTCATATTTCTTAACAAGAACAATTCCCAAATTGTGTGTCCTGTGTCTTCTCTCTTCCAGATGAAACCATAAGCTTTTGAAGATCAAAACAAAGTATTATGTTGGTCTAGTCTGTCATAAGTTTGTAATTAGAAAAGAACCTTTCATAGTCAGTGAGGCAGACATTTACACTCCCATATAGTACACTTGTAAAAAGCCGTATGACTGGCTAGTTTTGACCACTGGCTGTGTTGCTTCAAGTGTCAGGTGTTTATGAGACACCTGTGCAACCCTCCCTCCTCTGATGACAAGGGACACACCGTGCCGAGAAGGCAGAATCACAAATGCCAACGGGTGGAACCTCGATTTAGCCCACTGTGAACTCCCCTGTGAGTGAGAAACACCATGTGTTCACGGAGATTTGGGGCATTTTTGTTGCTGCAGAATAACTCGGTGTGTCCTCAGGTGGCTGATTCCCGATCATCGACTTCCTTTTACTCAGTAATTCATTTTAACTGATAGTTACCAAGTACCTATTAAGTGCCAGGCTCTCAGCTCTGATGAAAGTAGCCTACCTCATGAAGATACAACCAAAATCCCTGTTCTCAAACCGAACAGGAAAGACTGATATGCAAACATGCTATTATGCTTATAGAGTATGTTTTACATACAATAAAAGAGGCATAGTTTTCACAGATGGGACAAAGGCGTAGGACAGAGCAGGTAGGAGGTTTCGTGGAAAGTTTTACAAGAAACCTTGGACGCTGTAGGGTCTTTAAAGATGGAAAGAAATACTTCCAATGAAACCAAGGGAGAAAACCATTTCGACTCCATCCAACATATGTGCAGAGGCAAAGGAGGTGAAAATGCAGGAGAGGGCAGGGAGGGGCTGTAAGAACCACAGGGGCTGCTTCACAGATTTCCCTGAAGTGTAAAGTTTATGAGGGACCCTGTGAAGCATGAGGCTGGACAAGTGGACAAACTGAGGCACCCAGATTTTATCCTGAGGCATTAGTAGGTTTTAAGTAAGGGCCAGCAGTTGGTGTGATGGTTAAGGCACTGGTCTCCCACACTGCCAACCAGTTCGAGTCCTGGAGCTGGCAACTTGCTTTCTCAATTTCCCTTTCTCTGCCTCGTTCTGGCCAAAATAAAAAATAATAATAAAATTAAATAATTCTTTTAAAAAGGTTTTAGGCAGAGGAATTTCATAAGAAGATTTTCACTATGTGGAAGATAAACTAGAAAAAAGAAAATAATGAACACAGAGATGTCACTTAGAAAAAATGAAGAATAATCTAAATGAAAGATGAAGATCTGAATTAAAGCTGTAAATGTAGGAGCATAAATGTACAATTTTTAAGAAGTAGAAATATATAGGACCTCAAAATTAAATGAGATTGAGAGGGAATGTGCAGTCACGATGACTCGGTGGCTTGCAGACAGGACTAACGACAAATGACGTGTATCTCACCCCATCAGAGACATCTGCTGAATACAGGCGAACAAGAAGGTTTGGGTAGTGTATGACACCCAGCTGATAAATTTGTCCTGGGGTCGTGATGAGAAGTCAGAAATAAAACAGAGGCGTATACACGATGGTGGTACACCATGAAGTTACAGTAAGGCCTCACTCACCTAAAACACATGATTCCTCTCATTCTATTTCATTCTAAATACTGTCTAAAACTGAAGTAAAACGTTGAAAGGCAAGTTACAGGAGAGAAACTACTGGGAGACCATAAACTACTCCTCACTGAACACAAACGCCAGGGGATCAGTTATTCTGTAAGGAGAGATCATTTAATGAATAGCACATTTACGTGCTGAAATGTTAATGTAGTATTAAATAATCTGCTTACAGAATTTTATAAACATACACTGCACAAAGTATGAACTCAGTATATGTTTATAAAATATAAACAATATAAATGTATTCTTTATCAAGAATATAAACAGCTCCACACCACCAGTTTTGGCAATGATATTTTATGTATGACCCCAAAACAGAAACAAAAGCAAACACAGAGCAGCAGAATTGCATCAAACTAAAAAACTTCTGTGCAATTCAAGAAAAATCAATTAAGTGAGAAAATAATCAGACTGGTAGAAATACCTGCTAATACCCCAATGATCAGGGGATAATGTCCAAAATATATCTGAGAAAGGGTTAATAACACTTAAGAAACTCAAACAACTCAACAACAAGAAAACAATCTGATTTAAAAATGGGCAAATGTGAATAGACTTTTCTTAAAAGACACACAAATAGGGACCAGCAGGTGTTGTAGTGGTTAAGGTACTGGACTGCCACAAGGCCAACCATGGTTTGATTACCAGACCTGGTGGTTTGAAAATTACGTCGGGCATGTGTGCCTTCTCTATCTGGCAGAGCATGAGTTCTACAGCAAAAACCTTTTTTAAAAAAATATATACATTTTATGTAACTTTTCTTTTATTTATGTACTTATTTTAATTTGACCAGGGAGAGACACAGTGAGAGAGAGAGAGAGGGAGAGAGAAAGAGAAGGAGAAAGTAAGAAATCAAGTTGTCAGGTCCAGGAATGATGGTCAACCATGTGGGAGTCCAGCACCCTTACCCACCATGCCACCTGTCAATTCCTGGTAAAACCTTTAACAAAATAAATAAATAAATAAAAAGATACAAATGAGGACCAGCAGGCAGTATGAAGGTTAGGGCACTGGATGGCTGCATGGCTGGAGTCCAATATCTGGCAGTTTGAAAATCATGCCAAGTACATATGTGTGCGTGCCCAAAATCCTCAGAGGAGACTGGAAGAGATTGCAGCATGGCCATCGCCCTCAGGGGAGGGCTGATATTTTTATTCTCTCTCTGTCTCTGTCTCTCTCTCTTTCCCCCCTTCACTCTCTCTCTGTTTCTCTCTAGCATACACCCTATAGCGAAACACAACAAAACAAAAACACAAAAAGCCATACAAATGACTTATAGGTATATGAAAATATTCTCAATACCACTAATCATCAGGAAATGCAAATTGAAGACACAATGAGATATACTTCACACCTGTTAGAATAGCTACCAAAAAGATGAAAGGTAATAAGTATTAGGATGTGGACAAAGAGAACCCTTATATGCTATAAGTAGGAATGTAAATTAGTATTGCCATTATGCAAAACTATATAAAGGAAAAACTTTAAGTAGAATTACCATGTGATCTGTCAATTCCCCTTCTAGTGGGTATATACCCAATTAGAATGAAATCGATATGACAGCTGCACTTCCTTGTTAGTTGCAGCTTGTTCACAATAGCCAAAACATCGGTCTAAGCACCCATGTACAAACTGGAATCCTATCAAACCTTAGAAATTCTGGGGTCAGCAGTGGTGTAGAGGTAAGGCAGCTGGATTCCACATGGCTGAATGAGCAGTTCGAATCCCATACCTGGTGGCTTGAAAATCATTCAGGGTGCATGTGGGGGGTGGGGGCTGTTTTCTCACTTTCTCTCTCCCTCCCCAGCAAGTCCACAACACTATAGCAAACTACAAGTAATGAAGTTCTGTCATTTGCAAAAACATGGATGAAACTGGAAGGTATTATGCTAAATGAAAAAAACCAGGCACAGGAAGACAAATAATACATGATCTTACTTATATGTAGAATCTAAAAAAGTCAAACTCATAAAAGTAGAAAATAGAAGGGTGGCCATAGGTGGGTGAGCCTGGGGAGGGAGATGGCAAGATCTTGTTCAAAAGGTATAAAGTTCTACTTATAAATCTAAATATTTTCAGTAGCAAGCACAGCTGAAATATACATATCCATGAACACCAGTCTGACTTTAGGCATAAACCTCAGTGAATAGAATGAACATACTATAAAGTCGCACCTACCTCAGACACAATATGGGAGGAAGGTGGGAGATGGTAGAGGGTGAGATAGGGAATCAAGGATGGGAAAAAAGGCAAAATATACAGAAAACAAGAAATGGAAAATTATGTGTTGACAATAACACATATGTTGATGTGCTTGATTGAGTCAATATACAGTGTGCTGTGAATGGAAAAATCTCATTTTGTATGCTATAATGATGTACAGTGAATGAATCTAAATAAATAAATAAAAATAAAATAAAATAAAATTAGAAAAAAATGTTCTACTTATACAGGAGAAGGATTAAGCAATAAGATGACTATAGTTAATAATAATGTGATATGTGTTTCTTTTTTATGCTCTAAGAAAGTACGTGTGCACGCAAGAAGGAGAAAGAGATGGAGAAAGGGATTTTGTTTTTTTGTGGGGTCTCCCCCTGCAGTCCTCTGCCCAGACTTCCAGTTACCCGGATTACAGGAGCCCAGCCTGTGTAGGTAGGTCTGACCCTGGCCTCCCGCGTGGCCCAGCACACACGGTAGAGCACCACTTGCACCCCGTAGTGGTGCTGTAGCATATATTTTAAAACTGCTTAAGGGAGGAGATTTTCAGTGTCTGTACCACAAAAGAAATAAGTATATTAGGTGATAGATATTTATTTTTTAAAGGATTATTTTTAACAAATATTCTATTTTATTTATTATTATTTCTAAATTCTGCTATACGGCACATGTGCTCACCAGAGAGAGACAGAGAGAAAGTGAGAAAGCAAGCCATCAGGTCTGGGACTTGAACTGCAGTCAGCCACATGGGAATCTAGGACCTTAACCACATTACCTGCTGGCCCCTGATGGATATGCTATTAAGGTGACTTAATAATTCCATATGCTACATATCTCAAACATCACCTTGTAGCCTCTAAATATATTAAATTGTTTTTCAATTAAAAATAATAAATAAAAGCAAATAAAAATATAAAAATAAATATAAAAAGAATATAAAAATAAATAAAGCATTAGCGCTTACATATGATAAACAACACCAGCAGTCAGTTTATACATTGTATCATGGAAGTAACCACATTTTAATTATTCAGTACTGAGGATAACTTACTTTTCCCCCTACTTAATTGCCATGATGTTAATTCATTCTTGGAAAAATATTTGAAAATATAGCTCAGGGATAAGCAAAACTTAAATTCTGCTACTTCTAAAAAAGCAAAAAGCATGATCTGGCGGATATTAAAAGTACAATTGATAAGCTATCATTTGTTCCCCTCTACTATCGCTATGGAGGATGAATCAATCCCCTTTCTCTCTGCCTGCCTCTATTAGATTCCCAGAGAGAAAGCAACACCTCATTATTCTCTACTCTTGGGGCACTATCTAACAGTTAGACATCTTAAGACCGATCAGAGAGAAAAACTGGCTCTACAATCTATCAATGATTATAAAACATAAAACATACTTTGGAAGAGGCCATGTAATAATATTAACTCTTTAAGATTTTATATTTACAAAGAGATTATATAGCATAGCATCATAACAATGCTATAGGTTTCTACTGCTAGTTTTTAAACACTTAATATAGAAAATGGACAGTTATATATGACTCAACAGAACTTTTAGCAATCCATTTGAGATGGCATACTGACAATATCAGTCCTAAGGAACGATAATATACAAAGTTCAAGGAAGGATTTATTTAGTTGATTTTATTTCATACAAGTGTATCACCTTATGAGTCATTTATGTATTTAAAACAGATTTCTATTATGGTATCCAGAAGGTCAGCCTCCATTGTCTAAAAACAGATGGGATAAGTGTTACACTGGTATTAAATCATTTAATATTTTTTTACTTTTAATATCAACAAATATTATTGACACATTACTTCTGTCATATTTTGAATAACCTGGAGGTAAGATCTCCAGATTGACATTTTTCTTTTTTTCCAAAAAAGACAAAGCAAAGTCAGAGAGG